TGCCTGCCAATAGCCTCACTAATCAGACTAGCAGTTTGTGTAACAAGAGCAAAGCACTCAGTTTTCAGTGTTTTTTAGGCTAGAATTGCACATGGCAGAACGCAGACTGGACAAATCAACTCTCAACCTGAATTTAAAAACTACCCTATCTTGTTTGTTTTCACTCACCCAGGGACCAGAGTTGATTTTTTTTTTTTTTTTGAAAAAGCAAACAAACAAAAAAAAAAAAAACAACAACAACAAAAAAAAAAACCTGCAACAATTTTGCAAGTTACACTTGTGATGGATTTACTTTACTAACTTATTTTTCTTCAAGCTGGGTTGGTATGTTTCTAATTGCCTGAAAGAGGCAGTAAGAGTCACCGTTTGACCAAGTACTTTATGCATAAGGCCTGTTTCACAAGCTCTGTATCATCAGGAAGTAAATGAAAATTATGCAGCATTCAAGCAGTTCTGAGAACATTACACTTGTGGTATATACACAGAGGTTTTATGTCAGTTAAGTATTGCTTTGCAAAAAAAGACTCCTGTTAAACATTCTTTAATTCTGTATTGAGGTTTTGAAACAGTATTTCCTATTCTTCAGTTGGAACAATGCATCAGTCTGTACCGGGCAGAGTAACTCAGAATATTTTTCAATAATGTATAACAATCTGTGTTTTTACATATCTCCTTGGGATGTGAAAGGCTTGAATAATAAAAGCTAATCTTGTGTATTGGTGCAAATACAACTAACCACTGAGTTGCAACTTTGGATGATTCTTCTGCTGTGTAAACAAAAGCTTCTGCAGAGTCACTCCCATTGCAGTTTACCCTGCACTGCAGACCTATTTAGATTGGAAAGCAAATGCTTATCTTTCCAGTCTCCCTATTCAACAGGACCCAGTAAAATTAGTGCACAGGTTTAGTGCATGAAAATGCTGCTGATTCACTAAGCAGCTCATATTATGCATATGTTCTGTTAGAGCAACACAGATCCTTCTTTCAAATGTGATATAAAAGCAGAAGGGTAGAAACTATAATGCAAGAGGCAGCTAGTGCAATGCCATATGGAAGTAGAGAAATAAAGATATCAGCACTTGGCAAATCTCCTCTTACATTTCACATTCATATGCTCACCACATTTAGACACAAAGAGTGTATCTAACACTCCAACACCAGAAGAGAGTGTTTTGGTTGTTTTTCCCCATTCTTCAAAGAAACATGCTTTTACAGACATGTCCCTGTATAGCAATAATAAGCTTTCCTTAGCAAATTAATAATGCCACATTGGTAATATGCACTTCGGATTAAAGCCAGAAATAGTAACTATCATGCAATTTCACTACAGAACAGTGAACTGTCACAGTTGTGCAAGTATCAGTTAGCAACTCAATTTATAGAATCGCTCAGGTTGGAAAAGAACTTAAAGATCAAGTCCAACCATGACACTACCTTTATGTCCTGAAAACACATGGCAGGGCAATTGAACAGAGCAAGGAGTATTTGGGATTCTTGACTGTTATCAGCAAAGTAATTTCCTTCTGAAATTGAAGGACAGTTATTGAGTATAAAGAAAACAGTTATCTTTAAAGCTCCTTTCTCTCTATTCACTATAAATGATGCCCATTAAGTTTTCCAAGTTTCCCTTGCACTTTTCTGTTTCAATTTTCTTTAAAACATTTCCACTTGTATTACTGTAGTATGTCCAACAGAGAGAGTCAAGAACTACTGCTCTTATCTCACTGAGTGCATCCTGTAACATGCTCCTGTCAAATTCTTACTACACTGCTGCTCTTTTCATCTGAGAGCAAAAAAGGCGTTTACTTCACTGACAAGGAAAGGGTAAAGAGCAGCCTATTCCCATTTCCCACCATTAAAGTATTTACTTACATGTCAAGTATAATAAGGAAAAGTTATACTGCTTTCTTGGATTTCCACTATTGCAGGATGCATTGCAAAGAAGTAAACCCTCAGTGCACATAGGGAGAAGGAACACACAGCACTCACATCGCCTTTTTCAGGATGGATGAATAAAGAAAGGATTTTGTGGTAGGATAAGTTTGGAAGGTTACCTCCAACCATTTCCTAGCAAGTTTTCTCAAAAAAGTTAAAGTCTGTTACTTAAATTCAACCTGGTACTGGTCAGCAAGAAGAGGCCTTCATAGATCAGCCATTTCTACCTCAGTGCATGGTGCTACATACATAAAGTTCAGTGCACAAAAAGATGGTAGAACAGGCAGAAAAGGAAGTTACAGCACTTTCTAGATTAGATACTCCAGTAAACAAATAAATAAGTACTTTTGAAATGACAAGATCACTTTTACAGAAATTGAAAAATATTGCTCAAACATTCAAAGGAAAGGAAAAATATTACTTAATGCTTCAAGATGAGCAATTACTATACATTTGTAGAACATACATCCATCATGCATATAGACTTATACTTTCTTTAGAAACGGCTTTGAGTTTTGCTCAGTCACTGAAAAGAGAAATAATACTACTCAATTACCAGTTCAAATATACAATAAAATGTTATTTATAGGAGCTTTGTCTTTATTATGGATTTTTACGAAGTTGTAACTTACCTTTCTTTATGAAGGAGACAAGAGAGATTACATTAAAATACAAATACTGTTAATAACAGAGCAAGGCATAATGCCATTAGGAGTTATGGAAACTGTCCCACCTTTATTCCTTCGGTTTCTGACAAGATTTTTAAAAGAAAGAGTAAGTGAACTTTTCCATCAGAATTCTGGGGTGGATTACATCTTTGCTGAGAAGAAACTAGCCCCAGTTACTGGTAAGAACTACCAGTTACAGAGCTGCTTTAGAGGCATAGAATAATCCCAGAACCTCAGAAGTCAGGCTTCTAATGAACAAGCAGCTGCACCATCAGCATGGATGAGACAAAAGCATATGATCAGTAGCTTTAGAAGCAATTTAAATAGATCGAGACATCAATGTAGTTGATCTATTTAAATTCATGAGATCATATTTGGAAACACAGAAAAGAGCTGCGGGAATATGAAACTGTTTGAATTTAGCCTTGCAGAAAATGTATCTTTTTTGAGCCTTTTCAACATCTTAGTGCAGTCTGATGCCATTACATGAAACATCAGTATGTGAAATATAGAACACTACTAACCTAGCAATTAGTGAACATTAATTACTTAAAAATGCTCTAGGTTGAAAGACGGTCATTTCTCAGAACTAAGAATACTGCAACAGGAGTCTTAAATTACGTATTGTATGCATATACAAACAGTATTTGTGCGTGCATATGCATTCGTATACACATATAACCTAAACATGAGTTTTACTCATGCAGATTATTGATGTGTTTTCTACAGTACAGTATAAATCAACTCATTTACACAGTGGAAATCCTTTACACCCTGTGTTCATATGCTTCTTTCAGAATGAAAAGGATCCCAAAAGACATCACAGAGACCAGAAAGCACTCATTTCCATTAGCAGGTTGCTGAGTATCCACAACTTCACTCTAACAGATCAGATCAAGAAACTTCAGAGCACTTCTCATCTCCCAGTATCCTCTTTTTGGCTGCCCAGATTAAGATGCCTCCTAGGGTCATGCTGGTATGGAAGCAGTTAGAAAGCCTAAGGAAAGTCACTGCAGACTTCCTGCATAGCCAAGTGAGAAAATGGCAGATTACAGGCAAGACAGTTATTCCATAGATAAAAGGGAAGCAGATTCAGACAGGCAGCAAGGCAAAATAGGCTGCCATAGATAAAGAGAGGGACAAGGATCACCTCATTTTATACTCAACCAGCATTCCCCCATCCAGCAGCAATACTGTTAACCCACAAAGCATCACTCTGGAGATTATTAAATGCTTTCATCTACAGGCCACCCTCCCGGGAGACATGCTATGAAGTACTCCAGGGGCAAGGTAGACTTGCATTACCAGTGCTCATCTGCACTTCTTGGGAAAACAAAACAGGACATTTACACTTCAAAGCTACTGATCTGGCATTTAGCCAACAGACACAAAGTTCAACTTGAAGTTGTTATCAAAGTCACATGATAAACCTGAAGAGCAATCTTAAGACTAATAGGAATTATACTATTGTTTCTGGTTGTTTTTTTGTTTGTTTTTGTTTGTTTTTGGTTTTGTTTTTTTTTTTGAAAGTTGTGTGAAAGCGAATACTGAAATATTAACACATATAGCACGCATAAATCACAAGCAAGTGGGACACTGTCATTACTATTCCCAGAAGTGGTGGCTTATTAGGCCTATTACCTAAATAGGATGATGCTATCTACTGGCTATTATTCGAGGTCTGTATCTTTTAAGACCAAGTACAGCCAACAGCAAAATATCCCAGCCTATTAAGTAGCTCCACCTTGGATGTTGATGTTTCCAGAAACATACATTAGCCAGTAACTTCATGTTTGAAGCCAACTTATTATAGAAACAGACATTAGTGAAATATTAATACAAAACATTTATTGTTATCTCCCTACCCCACCCCTTAAAAAAGGTGCCAAGAATTCAGCTCAAATAGGCAGTTTCTGCTCCTTTCAAGTTCTCTAAACACTTTGGAAGTAGATGCAATCAAAAATATTAAAAGCAAGGACTTAAAATAGGAAAGATGTAAACAATTCATGGTCTAGATTCATAGCAAACTAGAAGTCCCTACTATATTTTACATAAGTACTAACGGACAGTAACAAAGTACAACTAATACCTCAAGGAACATATCTTTAAGGAAGATTCCCTTGAAACATAAGCAGGATCATAAGCCACAGTACAGACATAATTAGCAATTAGATTTTCTGTACATATGTTACACGCTTTACTCTCACTAATAACATATTAAGACAAGACACACCATTCTATTTTCTGCTTCCTAGCACATGAAGTCTTATTACCCTTAACCATTTCCTAAATACACTAGGACAGGCCAGAGTAACTAAGTGCAACACATAAATATAACAAACTACAGCATTAAAATACATATATCTATATGTAAAACTGAATTAACTACCTACTTACCAGGAAAAGCAATACTAGCCACTTGTTCATGAATTCCTTAAAACAGAACAAACATTTTTTGCTTGTAACGCCTTTCAGGCTACACTTCCTCCAAAGCTTCCACAACTTATGCCAACTATAGGCAAAACTGTGTTCCTGGCATGAATTTTTATACCAGGTCCAATTCACATGACAGCCTTCCTCATGAATGTGAACTACCTGCACCTGTGGTGAATAAAGCAGTCATTCAGGAGAAAAACACTGAAGCTGAACTACTGAAAGTTAAAATATATCTGATAAACTAGGGAGGCAATAGGACAAACACTAACATAGCTGAAACAAGTATTTCCTCCAAAGACTGACTGCTTCAGACTGTTTTTCTTACTCAGAACATCTAGGGTTCTTGGTTACTCCCAGGTAAGTGTTAATGAATAAATGCCTAGGACTGGTTACAACCTACTTATATAAGAGTTTCTCTATCTACTTTCTTTTTCACTTTTGTCCTTTGTGTTCTTTGAAATTGTTAGAAAGTGGTTCTTGGTGGTGTTTAAAGACAAAATTAAATTGAAAAATTGCACGTGATAAAGCTTTACAGAAAATAGGAGGTCTTTATTGCATTGCAAGGTGAGGAAAGTCAAAGTGATTTGCTGTAAGGCTTATTCCAGCATTCTGATATTAATATATTTGCAAATATTAAATATATGCCCTTTAGTAAGCAAAAAAAATTAGTTAGAATAGCAGGAGTTCAGGAAATGATTTTTACAAGACTAGATTGACCTTTAAGAAGGTAAGAATGCTGGGGCAGTAAATAATAGCTTTGTGTAAATTTCTGTTACTACAAAATGTTGCTTTCTCTAATTGTAGTCCCAAGGAAGAGTGTAGATTATACTGCAGGAACTATGAAACCTTGCATTATATTTCTTATTGATAATTCTCTCCCTAGTACATTATGAAACTTTTATTTTTTTTTAATCATAAGAAATAAATTGTCTCACCCTAGGTCACAGTAACTAATGCTGTTTTTATATAGTGGTAGTGTATGTTTTATGGAAAACTCTTCATTTGAGACTTATTAAAGGTCAACTAAAAGATGAATGGGCTAGTAAAGCAGGAAGATCTGGAAATCTTACACAATATATCCAGAGGCCAAGGCTATCTTTTCTTAAGTAAATATAGCACAAGCATTCATCTGCAGCAGTATGCCCAGTTGATTTAGGGAGGCCTAGAGCTAGGTTGTTTTCTCTTAGCTAGATATCTCTCTGCCTCAAATGCCAATGTAAAGGATGCTTCTTGTGGAGGAGTTGTTTGTGCTGTCCCTCGTGACTGTATACCTAACACAAGCGAGGGCTAACAGCTGTATAACATCATCTGAAGCAAGGGGTTGATTTATTTAATGTTCATCATAGGAACAGGTGAACCACAAATGAGGAAGTATTATATTATATGGAGGAAGGATTTTCTGGAGACCTTCTGGAAGGAAACATCAAACCCTCATCCTCATTGTGGGATCTGGGATGAAAATAACTATGCTTTGTAGCATGGTTTGGACTGTAGTTGATATGACCTCATTCCCTTTGGTAACTTCAGCCAAACAGGCTGTCCCACCTAGCTCCCTGTCAAAGCAATGTATGGGGATCCTGATCTCCATGGGAACATATATGGGCAGTAACTGTAACGGTTTGTGTTTGAACTAGATGAATCTGTTGTGGGCTTTTAGAGCTACAGTGGATATTGAAGTCAGCTTTTTTTTTGTGTGTGGTTTTTTTTTTTTTTTTTTTTTTATTATTACTATTATTGCTTTATGGACTTTTATTATTATTTCTCTGTCAATTTAGTATGCAAAATGAGTATTTGAATTAAGCAAAGGTTCATCCTTATCCTTAGTGCAGTCACAGCCCTTAATAGGTCTCCTGTTGGATAAAAACTAATGAAATTTGGTGTTTACTGTGTGGGCAGAAGGTACTCATGGTTATGAAAGGCATGATGTCATAACCTGGCAGTCAGTGAGTGGCTCCTCTGTGATGTATTTTCTTCTCCGAAATAATCTAGAGATTTCAAATGCTACCACAGGAGGAGAAATTCTTTTTTATTTCTTTTGTTCTATGGCATACATGCATTCCTGACTTTGGTCTAGACCAGCAATAAAATATTTTCACAGTAATCAAAATGCACTGCTTCAGAATTTGATCACTCACTGAAGACTCATCCTTTCCCCATGGTGAATGCTGTCACTTGAATAGCTGACTTGATTACGTTTTCAGAAAGGTAGTCTTGAAAAAAGCAATGGTGTGAAAGTATTGTTCTTCTTCCCGGTTTTAAGTTTGGATTAACTATGTAGAGACTCTTCCGGGAGTCTAAAATGATTAGCTGTTTTTTTGTGCTGCCTTTTAGAAATGTTATTAGAGAAATACCACTCTTGTGTGGAAATTGAATTCCCTTTACAGATTTGATACCTTTCTCTACCATTTACAGATGGTGTGGTGAATGTTTAATCTGTTACTCTTTTCCACTTTAAAGTATAAAAATCTTCTATATCTGAGCTCTGCATAAGGAAATCTTTAAGATCTTGTACATCTGGTGCATTTCTGTCCACATCAGGTGCTCATGTGTCCCAACCAGAAGGACTACCTTATCTTATGTGAGCCCCCTCTAGGGCACTACTAGGTCACAGCTTGAGCTGGTGATAGAGCACTGGGTGAAGGGGGCGTGCCTGGCCCTGAGAGCACACAAAAATTGTTTGCACCCATGTACCCATAAGGAGTAGGTCAAGGGCAGAACCATGCTAGGCTCATACAAGGGCCAGCCACAAAAAGGAGAGCAGCTCTTGGTCCTAGGTTGCTTCCTGAGGAGTGATGTATAGCTAGCAAGCCTTCTTCACCAGTGGGAGTGGGTTTGACTATTCTTTCTGTATACAATTACTGGATAAGGTATTCTTCATCTGGTATCACCAAGAACCTGTCAGAAGCAGTTTTGCTTCTTTGTGGGCAGAACAACCCCAGTGACTCTCTTCAATCTTTGTGTCAGTTATGTAAAATCAATTAATGGCTGGCAGGCAAGTAGCTGTGACCTAACAGTCCCATTTTTTGTTATGTATCAGAGTTTTGTTAAGTATCAGAGAGAGGATCAACAGTTAATTTTTCCTTGAGGAGAGGCTGAGAGAGCTGGCCTTGCTCTTCCTGGAGGAGCATCAGTGGGATCTTATCAATGTATATAAATAACTAAAGGAAAAATGTTGGAAAAATGGGGCTAGGATCTTTTCTGTAGTGCCAGTGCTAGGACCAGAGACAATGGGAACAAACTGGTGCACAGAAGGTTCCTTCTGAGCACCAGACAGCACTTCTGTGCTCTACAGGTGATGGGAGACTGGCACAGGCTGCCCAGAGACTGTGGAGTGTCCTCTGTGGGGATCTTCAGAAGCTGCCTGGGCACCCTGCTCTGGGTGGCGCTCCTGGAACATGGCTAGAGGGACCCAGACGGCCCTTTCTCATCTGTCATTCTGTGATGCTAATTTTTCTGCACATTTTCCCACTAAATCCTTGTGAACATGTATAAGAGTGCATTCAAGTTAGATATCCTCTACTCATTGCTGGCAGTTATTTAAACAGCTGCATGAGGAACGAAATAATCAATTATTATCTAGCTTCTAGAAGTGGCGAGGCCATTTCTTATAGAGTACACTAGGGATATTCACAATGCTAATGTAATTGACAAGAAAGGGCAAAGAAAAAAAGATTTCTAATCCCCATTCTTCCTCTCAGAATCTTGATCTTAACTAGCATCTTGTGAGACTATCCTTTAACAAATGTTCTAAAACTGTTAACTTGTAGTACCTACTATCTTCCCTTTCTATCTGCCTGGCCTTAGTCCACACTCACAGCACTCTTCAGACAACAGTGTATTCTCTTGGAACATGGTTCTCTGTTTTGGCTAACTGGAGAGACATGTCGATGACCCTGTGTGCTAACTGGTGACTCACCTCATGCCCTAGTAGAGAGCAGAAAATGTGCAAGGCTACAAGTGAAATACCTAGGAGCTGCTGTATTAAACTGCTTTTTAAAAGAACCTCTCAAGTCTGACTTCCAATTGAATAGCCAGAAATCACATAGGAGATCCAACAGTTAATTTTTCTTTAACTTTCTGTCTCTAGGAATATTGTTCTCTGATTTTCTCCAGTTCCTGAAGGATAATTTGGCTGCCTGTGCAAGCTCGATTTGAGTGTGATACCACAGCTGCAGAAGCCCATTGATAAGTGGTGGTGAGCAAATCATTGCATTTTTTTCAGGGCTCAGCTGTTTAAAATATACTGAATGCAAAATCACTGGTAAGTTACAATATGTTTAAATTACTCTAATTAAAGCTTCTGTAGTATGGCACAGTTCATGATATTTCATTGCAAATTATAGCTCATGCACCTACCATGGCAAGCAGGCATTATCCCTCTTATCTCTTTATGCAAAGTGTAGGAAGAATGGGAAGAAATAAACTTTTCAAGCTAAATTGCAGACTTGGTAGCTGAAGTCTTTTCACAAATTCTTGAATGCTTCTACGGTGAGACAAACAGTTAAATTATGGGTCTGAACTGCTTTATGTGTTGGTGGGAGAGAGAAAATCCTCCTGAGAAAGACTTTAGTCTGTTTCTATTTTTAACAGGTGGGCTATACCATATGAAAAGGCGCTCTTAATGTCAAGGACAGCTTAACGTCATACGCTTCAAGTTGTGTATCATATGGTGAAGTTTGCAGTTATTCACACTGCAGACAGGAATGAGTCAAACTTGCTGTAGATGTTAAGCTGTTAGGGAAGGATGTTTGGGAAGCATTGGTTTGGGGATGCTGCATTACAATAAAGATTAACAGAGAGCTTAGAACATTGTGATCCTTGGCTATCTGAAACTAGGAGATGTTACTGAGTTTCTGCAGTGCCTTATCAAGTTCCTTATTAAAGAATGAAATGTTTCCTGTCTCAGCATGGCCTATAGACAGGCCTATATAAAGAAGCTCATTGTAAAGAAATTTCCAAAGAAGCGCCAACAGTGGTTTCCATCCAGACAGGTTGGAGTCACCCAAACTGTTTAGGAACTTGTCCACTGCTGTTGGAACCGTTCCCCGTAAATCTGCAGAGATTAACTGCATGTTTAACTATTTAGCTTAACTATTGGTTTCAGCAGACTAGCAATCCTCTGCTGGACAGAC